TCTTTGGGAGGCCAGGGTGGAAGGATCACTTGAGGCCAGGAGTTTAAGACCAGCCTACTCAACATAGCAAGACTTTATCTCTACAAAAAATTTAAAAAAGATTAACTGGGTGTGGTGGCATATGCCTGTAGTCCCAGCTATGTGAGAGGCTGAGGTTGAAAGATTGCCTGAGCCCAGGAGGTCAAAGCTGTGGTAAGCTGTGATTATGCCACTGCACTCCAGCCTGAGTGACAGAGTGAGACCCCAACTCAAAAATAAAAGTGGTCTTAGAGCGCTGCCTTGCCCCCTCTACCATGTGACAAGACAGCAAGAGGACATCATCTATGAACCCAGGAAGTGGGCTTTCACCAGATATTGAATCTGCTGGTGACTTGACTGTGGACTTCCCAGACTCCAGAAATGTGAAAAATAAATTGCTATTGTTTATATCTACCCAGTCTATGGCATTTTTGTTATAGCAGCCAGAAAAGATAAGACATAGGGTCTTTAATTAGATGATAAAGTTATCCTTATAAGAAGAGGAAATCTGGACACAAAGAGAAACAGCAGGGACACAAATGCTTGAAGGAAAGACCATATGAGGACACAGTAATAAGGCAGTCATCTGCAAGCCAAGGAGAGAGGCCTCAAGAAATCCACTCTGCCAACATCTTCATCTTGAACTTCTAGCCTCCAGAACTGTGAGAAGGTACATTTCTGTCATTTAGTTGCCCAGTCTGTGGTATTATTTAGTTATGACAGCCCAAGCAAACTCTCATTGGCCCATGATACTGAGCAGAGCAGGGGACTTGGTTAAGGGGCACCGGAGGGCATACGTGTACTGGACCTACACAGTGCTGTCATAACACTAGGCCTATTGTGGGGTTGATCACTTCCTGGTAGAGAGGAACAAAGACCCACCTGAAGGGTGAGATGATTATTCCACACAGTCACCAGTCTTGTCACCCGATTTCTCCTACCAAAAACCAATTAGATTAATTGGAATCAAGATCCTGAAGAATCAAGGTGTCTCATGGTGCTTCTTGTGTGATAGGCCATCCAGTGTCTTCCGCATGGAGGAAGGATGACTGAGAACTAGAGGTGAAGAGTCAAGGAGGGGTGCCTGTGAATCCCAGCCCCAGCCCTTTGAAGGCGTGAGAGAGGTTCTCTGTTCTGAGATAGGGAATAGAATGAGATACAGGATGCGAGAATGGGAGGCTGAAGAGTTGTGGTAGGAATACAGATCTGTGCCTTGTAAATCAGGTAATTTATGTTTTATATAGACCATGGTTTGAATATGTTCCCTCAAAATTTAGGTGTTGAGAACTTAATTTCTCTTCCTTCATGAATATATTCAGGACTTAATAAGGTCTCTGCCCTCATGAATAGATTAATATTGCTATCATGGGAGTGGGTTCATTCTTGTGGGAGTAGCTTTGTTATAAAAGCAAGCGGTCTCTGGTACTCTTGAGCTTGCTCTGTCTCACCTTGTGATATCTCCTGCCATGCAGCAGGAAAGCCCTTACCAGATGCCAGTGCAATGCTCTTGGGCTTCCCAACCTCGAGAATTGTGAGCTAAATAAACCTGTATTCTTTATAAATTACCTAGTCTGTGGTATTTATTTGTAACAACAGAAAACAGACTAAGACAGTATACTTTCTCTTTTGTTTTCTCTCAGTATTTTGACAAATTTAAAAAGACATTTGAATACCCCTATATATTGCCCTACTATTAAGGGGTTGGGTGGGGTGAGATGGATGAATTTTTGTCCAAGCTCATGCCAATGTCTTTTTTTTTGAGTTGGAGTCTCACTCTGTCACCCAGGCTAGAGTGTAGTGGCATACTCACGGCCACCATAGCCTCGACCTGCTGGGCTCTGGTGATCCTTCTGTCTCAGCCTTCCAAGTAGCCAGAAATACAGGCATGTGCTACCACTCCCAGCTTATTTTTTATTTATTGTAGAGATGAGGTCTCACCAAGTTGCCCAGGCTAGTCTTGAACCCCTGGGCTCGTGCAATCCTCTCGACTCAGCCTCCCAAAGTGCTGGGATTACAGGCTTGAGCCACCGTACCCAGCCTCATGCCATTGTCTTTTTTTTTAAGTTGGAGTTTCACTCTGTCAGCCAGGCTGGAGTGCAGTGGCACACTCATGACTACCGCAGCCTCGACCTGCTGGGCTCAGGCAATCCTTCCACCTCAGGCTTCCAAGTAGCTGGTACTACAGGCATGTACCACCATGCCAGGCTAATTTTTTGATTTATTGTAGAGATGAGGTCTCACCATGTTACTCAGGCTGGTCTTGAACCCGTGCCGTGGACTCACCTTGGCCTCCCAAAGTGCTGGGATTATCAGTGTGAACCACAGCACCCAGCCATGTCATTGTGTTAAAGGACAGTGGATTCTTGGACCAGTGGTGGTAGGAGGGATTGACATGAGAGAAGTCCAAGAGGATAATGAAATCCAGAACAGAAGCTCCAGGTAAAGAGAAGAAGTTGGTTATGTGCCCTGACTATAATCCTAACACTAAAACTTAACAGTTTGGAATTTTTTTTTTTTTTGGTTTGATCTTTCCACCTCAGCCTTCCAAGTAGCTGGAAATACAAGCACATGCCACCACGCCTGGCTAGTTTTTTGATTTATTGTAGAGACGTGGTCTCACCAAGTTGTCCAGGCTGGTCTTGAACCCATGGGTTCAGGTAATCCTCTTATCTGGGCCTCCCAAAGTGCTTGGATTATAGGCGTGAGCCACCATGCCCGGCTTTGTTTGGATTTGTTTTCTTTTTTTTTTTTTGAGTTGGAGTCTCACTCTGTCACCCAGACTGGAGTGCACACCACAGCCTCGACCTGCTGGGCTCTGGTGATCCTTCCACCTCAGCCTTCCAAGTAGCTGGAACTACAGGCGCATGCTACCACACCCGGCTCATTTTTGATTGATTGTAGAGATGAGGTCTCGCCAAGTTGCCCTGGTGGGTCTCGAACCCGCAGGCTCAGGCAATCCACTCACCTCAGCCTCCCAAAGGCGTGGGATTACAGGTTGAGCCACCGAGCCTGGCTTGTTTGGAGTTTTAATAGCTAATAGTTGAACACTGTCTGGTGCCATCTACTGTCATACACACTTTGCCTATCTTAATTAATTTAACCCTTATAACAACTGTTTAAGGTAGGTGCACACTATAGGTATGAAAATTGAGGCTTAAAGGTTAAGTAACTTGCCTGGTAAATTATGAGGTTAGGATTTAAATCTAGGAAGGCAATTTATGGAGCTTACACATTTAACCATTATAGGGAAATCTGAGCACTTTGGAAAACAGAAAAAAGATATCTGTGGAAAAGAGAAAGGACACTTGAAAAGGTAAAATGAGGAAGGGAGATCTCTGAAGTAGGTGAGAAGACCTGGAAAGGAGAGGACAAGTGGATGATTTTGTAAGAGTTTATGCTGCATTCAGGTTACAACAAACAAGCTTAAACATTTCAGCAGATAATTACTGTTTTGCAGTCTACATCTAAGAATTCCAGCATCTGGATTCCCTGTGGATCTGTTTCTGTTGTCTGTTGCTTCTGTTAGTTCTTATTCATAGTCTTATCTCCTTATATTTTTTGCTATCACTGACTTGCTGGTGCTATATTTGATAAGTAATTTGTAAAAATATTTTGAAGTCATGAATTACATAATCATCCTCTAAAAAAGACTTGTTTGCTTTGGCATGCAGGGAGAACAGGTGTTGGCAATCTGGGATCAGTTTAATTCAGGTTCAAGGCCTGAGGTTTTCTGAGCCATCAAATGATGGTAAACCAAGCCTTGTATGAGCTGATTTATTTCTGATTTACCCTTTCGCCTGTGATTGTGGGAGGTCTTTGGGGGGTCTCAGGCCAAAGCAAAGGATTATTTACCATGAGGAAGGGTTACAAAAGCAATGAGAAAGCAATACATTCTAAAATAGCTGGTTTTGCATTTCCTCTCTCAGACCTCAGCTTTCTTTGCCCCATTGATAATGGTGATTCTGGACTATTGATTGCAGCAGGTGGTGGGTGAAAAAGGTTATGCTGCATTCAAGTTACAACAAACAAGCTAGCCGGGCTCGGTGGCTCAGCCTGTAATTCCTGTGCCTTTGGGAGGCTGAGGTGAGTGGATTGCCTGAGACCGTGTGTTCGAGACCCGCCTGGGCAATTTGGCGAGACCTCATCTCTACAATAAATCAAAAAATTAGCTGGGCATGGTAGCATGGGCCTGTACTTCCAGCTACTCAGAAGGCTGAGACGGAAGGATCGCTGGAGCCCAGCGGGTCGAGGCTGCGGTGGCCGGGAGCGGCCATTGCACTCCAGTCTGGACGACAGAGTTGAGACTCCAACTCAAAAAAAAGACAAAAAACAAGCTTAAAAATTTCAGCAGGAGAATGAAGAGCATTGTTGCTTTACAGTCTGCTTCTAACAACTCCAGTAGGTGGTGGGTGAAAGGCCAGGGTGGGGAGCACAGTCAGTAATCTGCTGAGAAAGAAGTGCAGAAATCGTTGGGTCTAAGTGAGAAGCTGAGTTTTTAGGAAGACTTTGAACAACCTAACCTCACTTACTATGCTTAAGAAAGCCAAAATTAAAAATGAGATTGCTATGAGTTGATTGTTGGAAACATTATTTCATAACATGAGGAAACCATGAGGAAGGAGATTAAGAAAGGCCTGCTCAAGCACAAAAGGGACTGGGCCTATAGGCTTTTGACCTTGTTTTCTGGCCTTATTTGTTGGCTGCTAAGGGGCTTTAAGGAACTGCAAAGGGAAAACTGAGTATCATGACTCAAAATTGGCGGGAACAGGGCCAGAATCTGGGACTGGCTTTTACCATATATTTAAGCTAATAAATCAATCAGTTTCTGTCTCATGAATGCTGTAGAAGACATCTGGCTCATGGATCAGAGAGAAAGATCTTTAGTACTTGTGGCACAGAAAGCATGACTACCAGCATGTTTGTGTTGTTTCTTTTCTTTTTTTTCCTTCCTTTTTTTTTGGAGCGTAAGGGCACTGCTCGGCATGGCCTGCTTCTCCATGTGGCAGGGGAGAGGGCTGCAGCCGGATGGAACCACGGCAAGGTGGAGGAAGAAGGCGAGGCCTGCTCCTAGGGGGGGACTGTCCGAGGGCCATATCCCTGCCCACCTGCTCACACCCCCGGCGTGCTACGGGGAGGAGACTCCCAGGGTTGGGAGGGGGAGGAGGGTAGGATCGATGGGCCGCTGGTGCCGTGGGCCCCTGTCCCGCCCACGCGCGCACAGAGCAACCCTTGTGCCCAGGCCTGACTTTTAATAGACCACAGCAAGGGAGCTGCTCTGCTACATAGGAAACCTGACCCAGAAGCAGGTTGTCTAGGGATGGTTTAGCACCAGGTTCCCCACGAACGTGAGGTTGCATGAAGGGCAAGGGGCTCTGCCCACCAGACAGGTCCAGATGCGCCGTGAGGGGGTGGGGAGCGGGCAGGGGACGTGCCTGCCCCTGGGACAGGGCGTCCTGCCAGCGGGGGACCCGCTATCTGAGGCCAACCGAGGCTCCGCAGCACTGCCGTACTGTCAGCCTGGGCTGGATCCTTAGAGGCGCTCAGTCATAATCCCACAGATGGTAGCTTCGCCCCAATGGCTCCTAAGTCAAGGACATAGCACCAAACGTTTGAACCTGCAGTTCCTCTTCTATTGAGCAGGATCACTGTGGCTACAACGCATCATCAGCAGGTCAAACTAACCTGATGTGTCGGTTCTTCTTATCTCCACCCCCACCCCACGTCCCATGGGAGCAACACCGAGGGGCTTATTATTTCTCTGGGATATCTCCCATCTATTCAGGAGGAATACATGTTAGCCAACTTCTGTTTTCATCTTGTTAGTCCCTTTCATTAAAGGGATTCATCCAACTAAAAACCGTGGAGGGTAAAGAGAAATTTAATTTTTCCTCCCCTCTACTATACTGACATGAGAATCTTTCTGAAATATATTGTTAAACTAAAAAAGCAAATTGCAGAACAAGGTTATATGTCACTTTTTGTGGAAAGGTGGGGAAGGAATAACTAGATAAATAAATCAGACAGATGCTTGCAACTTTGACTAAGACCTACTCCTTTAAAAACTCAAGTCAGATAATGGTCAATGAAATGATACGAGAAAAGGAAATTAGAAGTGTAAAATTAAACATGATATTTTATTCCAGGAAAACCCAAAATAATCAACAGAAGAAATTACCACAAGCAATAAGAGAATTCAGTAAGGTAGCCAGGTCAAAATAGTGCCTAGAAATGTCCATTTAACGAGAATGGAATGTTTAAATAATGGTATGAGGGGGACTCCCTTGACCCCGAAAGTTTGCTGAAAAATCAACCCATAATAAGTCAGGTTAATAAGAGAAAAGGCATAAGAATTTATTTAATTGTGCACATGGGGAAAATCATAGAGTAATTGCCTGACATCCTAATGGGATCCAGAAATGTATATACCATCTTGAGGTTACAGAAACAATGAGGGCTGGAAAAACAGGTTATGGGATAGGGAGAAGAGAAATTCCATTGAGCAGAAAAAATTAAGAGGGAGACTTATTGGATCAGAGATCAGAAATTAACCTTAAATAGTTCTCTTTGGAACTTAAATTATTCTTGGAGACAGTCATTATTTATAAAAGGGTCTATTCAAGGGTGATTACATCCTTGGTCTTCTTTCCAATAATGGATAATGAAATAGCAGGAAGAGGAACAACTACAGTTGTTCTCCTTGGTAGGTCCATCCTATCTTTATCTAGATAGAGGAAGAGTCTCTTTCAATGTTTGTTGATTTATAAAGTTTTTAATTCAAAATACTCATTATATCAGGGAGCCATATTTTGGGCTGAAATTCCCTGCACTCCTTCAGTACACCCACAAAATGTGATATTATCCTGCTATTAAAAAACAAAACAAAACAAGAACACACTCTATTGATGGGGTCCAGGACATACCACTCCTAAATATGACAGTAAGAGACCAGAATATGCCATCCTAAAATATGCCTCTTTGGCATAAGGATTATTTTGAGAAACTATAGATGCAGGAGAAGCTCTGAAAAGTTACCATTTCTAAAAGAAAGTTACAGCTATTGATACAGGGACCCATTAATGTCCCTCCATGTTGCTACAGCCCCTAGAGAAGTGCATGGCAGGGATTCAAGCACTCCTGCACGTTCCTGAGCACATTACTGTGAATCCCCTTGTCTTCTGTGCACTCCCAGTAAGTACCTTCAGGGGATCCTTGACTTCCCTGTAGACTAGGCTCAAAGATGTAAGTCCCTATTTACCCCCTTTCTTTGAACTATGCAGTATCAATGTAATTGTAAGTCTTGTGATTTGCATAACTTTTGTAATGCATGATGTCTCAGGTCTCGTAAACTCTCTTTACTTTAAATGTTACTATCTAAATGTAAAATGCAGCTGTAAACCAGCTCGGTGGCTCAGCCTGTAATCCCACGCTTTGGGAGGCTGAGGTGAGTGGATTGCCTGAGCCCGTGGGTTCGAGACCCGCCTGGGCAACTTGGTGGGACCTCATCTCTACAATAAAAATAAAAAAATCAGCCGGGCATGGTAGCGCTTGCCTGTAATTCCGGCTACTAGGAAGGCTGAGGCGGATCGCCGGAATCCAGTGGGTTGAGATTGCAGTGACCAGGAGCGGCCACTGCACTCCAGTCTGGGTGACAGAGTGAGACTCCAACTCAAAAAAAAAAAAAAAAAAATCTCCATTTGTAAGAATGTCTCTATCTTTGCACCAGGAAGAGAAGGTCACTAAATCACTAGAATCTTAATTAGCAGGGAAAGCATTGACAGGGGTAATGTCTCCATAACAGACATTACCCTTGTTTATGGTGCCTTTCCTGGTCACCTTATTATACCAGGCATTTCCCCATACTCTCCTTTCTTATTTTCAGCAAATTATGATATTTAAGCTTGAAGTCCAAGAGAACTCTTTGAGGCTTACTCATTTCTCTGGGTTATCTCCCATCTATTCAGGAGGTACACATGTTGATAAACGTGTTTTCTTCTTGTTAGTCCCTTTTATTAAAGGAGTCCATCCAACTAAGAACTATGGAGGGTACAGAGAAAATTATTTTTCCTCCGTTGTACTATACTGACAGGAGAATATTTTAAAAATATGTTGTTAAACTAAAACAGCAAACGAGGTGTTTAATACTTCACTTTGTGTAAAGTGGGGAAGGAATAAATATGTGTAAAGGAATTCTTTTAAAAAAAATTATTTTATTTTATTTTAAAGATGTGGGATGCAATCCAGAGTTAGGTATACAAATGTTCACTATGCAGGTACCCTTACTGATGAGATGTGCCCCGCCTCCCCGGTCAAATTCCCACTACTGTCACTCCTGCCTCCCAACACCCCCCC